CCGAGGCAGCACCGAGCGCGGCCCGGCTCTCACCTCCCTCCCCGGGCAGCTTCCAGCCGGCGGCAGAGCCCCGGGGAACCACCATCCTGCACGCCACCATCAGTGCCCGTCCGCAGCCCCTGCCAGGTGAGGCGCGGCAGCGAGGGCAACCGCTGCACCCCTGGGTCCCCACCGCTCTGGGGCCAGTGCTGGTGCTGGTTCTGAGCTGTATGGGCGATGCTCCCCACTGACCCCGTGCCCCGTATCCCACCTGCCCCAGCGAGGTACTTTGACACAAAGACAACGGAACCCATCAGCTTCTTCTTGTCCGGCCTGGAGGAGCTGCTGGCCTGGCAGCCCGACAGCAACGATGAGTTCAACATCTCCACTGTGCCGCTGGCCAAGCGCCAGCCCCCGCTGCACAGCAAGAGGCCCCGGACCCTGGTGTGCCATGACATGCGTGGCGGGTACCTGGAGGACAGGTACATGCTGGGTGGAGAGGAGAGGTGGCAGTGGGGCTCAGCATTTCAAACCCCAAACTTCTTCCAGTTCTACTTGATTTGTTTCTTGCTGGCTGAGCCACAGGTGGGCAGGGATGGAGGGGTTTGGGTCTTGGTGCCAGTGCATGGTGACCTTGCTTAGCCCAGTCCTAGCTGGGGTCTGCAGGGCTGGCTCAGTGCCACAGCTCAGCCCCCTTCCCGGGATGTGAGTCAGGCCCCTGCCCAGCCCTGCAGCTATCTGCTGGCGTCCTTCCTGCATTGCCCAACCCTCTTCACTCCTGGTCACCACAGGTTCATCCAGGGCACAACCACACGCAACCCCTATGTCTTCTACCACTGGCGGTACATCGACATCTTCGTCTACTTCAGCCACCACACTGTCACCATCCCGCCTGTGTGCTGGACCAACGCGGCGCACAGGAACGGTGTCGCTGTGCTGGGTGAGGGCAGGGCTGGCTGCAGGGCTGTGGCTGCAAGGCCAGGCCCAGGGGAGCCCCAGGCATGCGGTGGGTTTGCTGGGGTGGATTTTCTGGGGCGTGTGGCTGATGCTGCTCTTGCCACCTCCCCAGGCACATTCATCACGGAGTGGACAGATGGAGAGAAGCTGTGCGAGGCATTCCGGGCTGGTGGGGAGGAGGCATACGGCGCTGTGAGCCGGCAGCTGGCCCGCATCGCCCAGCACTACCGCTTTGATGGCTGGCTGATCAACATAGAGAACACGCTGAGTGTGAGCTGTGGTTGCACTTTGCCTGCCTCCCTGCCTCCTCCCCTGCCCTCACCCTGCCCCGCCCGGTGCCCACCTGTCCCTGCTGTCTTCTGCAGGCAGCAGCAGTGCGGAACCTGCCCCCCTTCCTGCAGCACCTGACAGCGCAGGTGCACAGCGCTGTGCCAGGGGGGCTGGTGATCTGGTATGACAGTGTTCTGGAGAATGGCATGCTGAAATGGCAGAATGAGCTGAATGAGCAGAATAGGTGAGGCCAGGCCCTGCCTGCCATGCCTCCTTTCCCCGGCAGAACCAGCCCCAGCTGGGGAGCATAAGCCCACCCCACACCCAGTGTGTGGTCTGGACAGGGCCTGCACAGCCTTGGTTGGAAGGTCTGTGGAGACAGCCACAGCCTCCGCCCTGCCACCCTGACCCTTGTTCCCAGAGTGTTCTTTGACGCTTGCGATGGGCTGTTCACCAACTACAACTGGAAGGAGGAGCACCTGGAGCGCACGCGCGAGCTGGCGGGGCCTCGCCGCACCGACGTCTACGTTGGCATTGACCTCTTTGCCCGTGGGGATGTGATCGGTGGTGGCTTCAACACTGACAAGGTAGGTGTGCTGAGGCTGGGACCATAGGCCTCCCACGGTGCACGGCTCTGAGTTCCCACCAATGGTTGTGCCGTGCTGTGCTGGGCTGTGAACCTGGGGACACAGCAGTGAGGAGTGGGGGCACCTGGAGGTGCTCGGCTGTCAGCCATGCATGGAGAGGGAGCTGGGGTATCCCAGTGCTGTGGTCCTGGGAGAGTGAGATGCTGCAGCACATCCCCATCATCTTGTCCTACCCCACCACGGGGCCAGTGGGACCTGGGGAAGTGGGGACAGGGCAGGTGACAAGGTGACCACCTGGCCTGGCCTGTGCAGCTTGCTCCTTGTCTCTGCAGTCCCTGCTCCTGATCCGCCAGCACGGGCTCTCAGCAGCCATCTTCGCTCCTGGCTGGGTCTACGAGCATCTGGGGGAGGAAAACTTCCTGCACAACGAGAACAAGTGAGGGCAGATGGCAGGGTTGGGGCTGTGGGGAGACACAGGTCTGGTAGCCCCTTGGGCTGGAAGGGCTGTGGGTCAGTGGGACAGGGCTGCTGGGTGACAGTGGCTGCCTGCCAGGCTCAGGCTGGTCCCACTATGCCCCACTGCCCAGAGCTGTGCCAGGGCAGTGGCTGTAGCAGGGGGCTCTGCTTGGACACCTGCCTGTTCCTCCAGGTTCTGGGGATCGCTGGCTGAGTACCTGCCCACACACAGCATCTGCACCCTGCCCCTCGCCACCTCCTTCAGCCTGGGCATGGGCACCAGCAGGTTCCTGGATGGGAAGGTGGGTGTGGGCTCCCATCAGGCAGGGGGGTCCTTGCTCCTGGCTGCCCCCCACATCCAACTCACCCTGTCCTGCAGGAGGAAGAGGCTGGGCCCTGGTACAACCTGAGTGCACAGGAGATCCAGCCCTTCTACCCGGAGCATGAGGGCAGACTGACCACCAGCTGCTGCCTGCAGGATGCCTGGTGTGGGGGAAGCTCCCTGAAGGTGCAGGGGACCATCCCCCCTGGCGAGGAGTATGTGACCATCCGGTGAGTTGGGGGAGAAGCCCCTCTGCCACCTCCTCGGTGCTGGCCTGGCACTGTGCTGGCATGGCACAGCCCACACAGCCCAGGCAGGGCTGTGCTGCCACAGGGGCCTTGTGGTGAGCTGCCACGGGGCTCTCTGACTGCATTGCCCAGCAGACCTAACCCGATGCATCTTCTCTTTTTCTCCTCTCTCTCTCTGTCTCTCTGTCTCTCTGGGTGGATCTGGGGTCATCAGCCTTTTCTCTTTGCAGATGCTGGCGCCCCCCAAGCTCTACCTGACCCTGCTCTACAAGCTGGAGGGGCCGCACCCTGATGAGCTCACAGTTGCACTTGAGCTCACCACATGGGACTCGGGCACCTGCAACGAGAGCAACATCACGTCCCTACCTGGTGAGGAACCTGTCACGCTCCATGCCCTCTGCAGTGAGCACCCACTGCGGGGCACAGGACCCCCTGACCCCACTCCCTCCACAGAGCCCAATGGCCGGCACCACCCG